TATGTATATATATGAATATATATGTATATATATATACATACATATATATATACATATATATACATATATATACATATATATATATATATACATATATATATAATAAACGAGTTTAATTCAATTGAATTAAATGAGAATCTTAATCCAATTAAATGATATGATAAGATTTATGAAATTGAGCGTATGTCATAAGGGCTTAAGACAGTGTAATCAATCGGATTAATATATTTTAAAATAAAATCAATTTAGTTTAGTTTAAACCGATTAAGTGAACCAAAGAAGAATAACCCCGAATCAAAACTACTTAGAACCTCTAAAATCAAATCATTTGTGAATTGTTCAAACTAAACTAGTTTTGAATCGATTCAATTATTCAGATTTAATTTAATTTGAACACCCATAGATTTCACTGAATTGATTCAATTTCAAATGACTTGAAAAGTTACTAATTTAATTGAGTTTCGTTCATGCACATGTTTATCATTTATGAAAAAATGGGATGCACGAGGTAAAAACAAATTAGGAGGGTGTCATTTGGTAAAAAATGATTAGTATAGACTTTTTCTAATAAAATTATTGGGAAACTTGAGGCAGTATCATATGCTAAGAACGAGAAATAAAAATATCAGATTTCCTACAGAAAAAAGTTTTTCGTCATCGTGTGAAGATTAATACGTAAAAGCTCATAAAATCAAAAAATAAAAAAACTATGCATATATGAAAGATGTGTTACTTAAATATATTATATATCCCTAAAAATCTTCTGTAAGAGAGAGTAAAAAAAGTTAACTATCCTCCTCTTTAGTGGTGATCCACATGGTAGGGGCCATGAAGATGCTTCCCAAATCATTACACAATCCTTCTTTTCACGCACACTACGCAATCAAGAAGAGTCCGACCCTTCTTGTTGTCCATACTATCACGGACTTAGCTAGTTTTGTCTAAGTCATATAGTACCCTTGCGTGTCCGTTTGCAAATATCAACCTCCCTAAAATCTCTTATGGGTCCTTAGGACCTACAAAAGAGAAAATGAGTTAGAGAAAGCGTCTCACTCGAGATCCACAAGCAATCATTTTAGTAAACACTTCATAGACAATATAAATTATAAATTGACTTTACAAGCTCTGAACGGTCACACAACAAAGGATTCAAAATGGTCCACTATAGACCGAAAAAAAAATAAGCCTACTACCAGCTCTCTACATACTGTGCAAAGCATGAACAAACCAAAAGACATGGACATACATAAGCATTATGTCGAATATCATATTTATAATTTTGTCCGTGACATTCTCCCTTACCTATTCCTTCAACATCCTCATCAAAGCCCTTGCAGATGCTACAACTCCTCGCCTTTGTTGAGTCTTTAATCTTCTGTTTCAGCTGCAATACTTAGTGTTCATGTTTTGCTTTATAGTTGGTGCCATTTTATACCGTCTAAAAAGAAAGAAAAATATCTCTATGACCCATTTGGAACACATTAATATGTCTGTATCTTCCTCAGCGGATCAAATGTTATGCTATTTTAGCAACATAGGATTGATCATATGAATGACTAGGCATGGCCAGTAATCCACCGAGTCCAACCGGCAGCTACCGAGTCAAATCTGACTCCATTTGTGTCTGCCCAACCGAGTCCAAATCGGCAACTTTTGAGTCGAATCGGAGTCGATTTCGAACTGCCGACCCGAACTCAAGAAGAGCACATGGTGACCTCGTGCGAAAGCGGTAACCGCACGCTGGTGACAGTACCCTTCTCATCTGCGCTTTTCTTGCCCTTCCCATCCATTTCGGTCTTTTCTGGTCGGCGGACGTCTGCGATGGAAGACGATCGGTAAATCTCACTTCTATGGCTGTTTTCTTTGCCGAAATCTCTTCCGCGTTTGAGGAATGCACACTCAAATTCCTTTGCTGATCACTATTGTGCATCGTTTCTGTTTTCTGGGCATAAAGCTCGGAGTTCGACTGGAGTCAAAATTTTACTTTTTGAAGATTATTATGGATTCGACGCCTTTTTTTTCCTCATGTTCGGAACGTTTTTTATCAGATCAGTTCATTTCTGATGCGGGCTTTCAAAAAGATATATTTTTTACCTTATTTTGTGTTCAGTTGATGTTTTCCTTATTTAAGTTGATCGTTTGAATCTGAGAAAGTGACAAGGAGGAAAAATCCCGTTAACGTAAAATGGAATTTTTGCTAATTATTAGCTTATCCTAAGAATTTTAGGATCGGTTCCATCTTACAGTAAATTAATTTGAGTGAAAAAAAAACTTACTAGGACAAAGAAAGATAAATGTTGGATAAATTTTTATTAATGAAACTAAAAAATCAGCGTCAGGTTATATTATATTTTACAGTTGGAGTGAGACATTGTCATATGAGCAATCTAGAACAATCTGCGCTTGTTGGATGGGATGAACCGTAGTAACTTAGTATGAATAGAATGATTTAACCATTTAGAGATCTTTTAATGGCAAATGTTTCAAATGAGAAGGGCTCTGAAGTGTTTGGTTAATGCCCATTGTCCACTAGTTGTTAACCGCACTAATTTTGCTACTTAATCACATGTTAGACTTTTTGAAGGACCAGAAGATATATGTGACCAAGTGCTGTTTTTTAACACTAGGAGCCAATTTTCTAATTTCAAAAGTTTACTTGACTATGTTGTATTATATTTATTCAATTTTTTACCAAGATGTAGAATAACATGGCATTATCTTGGTCAAGTTTTTCCGTTACGTGGTTAGTGTGCTTTATATTTAGCTAGCTTAAATAGTAATTTCTTGTTCTGTCAACCTTCAATGAATTTTCTCTTATTAATGTTCTCTTGTTTGTGCTCAGATTGAACTCACCCAGCACTTCAGCGGTGATGCTTGAGGTTTTAGGCCACCGACTGCAATTATCTCAGGTATAGGTTGTAATGCATTTAACTTATATGTGATTTCATGGAATATGTGGAGGAAAATTGTACAGTAGATGATCTATTTTGTGGTTGACTTTTTAAAATTTCACCTTTGCCATAAATCATGCGTCCATTGCGAAGACCTGTTTAATTGTCTTCTTTGCAGGAGATCGATAATTAGAGACTATTTTGGTAATCAATATATTTTTGATATTTGCCAATTCCTTATATTATTATGTTATTGAAAGGGGATTGTTCTTTCCATGACATTTTCATAATTTCACTGTTTGCTCAGGATTATTTTTTTGGGTTTCTGCCCTAATGAGACACTCTACACTATCCTTTCTTCTCTAGATGTGGCTAAAGCATGTTGGAAATACTATTCATCACACGGAAGCAACCTTTGAATTTGCAGTTACCATATCTTGATCTTTTGTACCATGCTCCGTGTCCCTTAAGATATATCTTAGATAATGCATATGATCACAATGGGGATGTGCTTTGGCACACATGTATATAACTGAGGTTATCTTGTTAACGAATTACTTATAAGATGTCCCACAGGAACTCTTTGGTTTTCATTTACTTTCATTTATGACAAAGATCAAGTTCGAAACCATTCTTAATTAGAGACAGTTAATTCATTAAGCTGGGATATAGGATGATATCTTCTTAAATATTTTATTAGGACTACGTGTAAACAATGCTCTACTAATGCAACATTGCCTGAACATGACTTCATTTTCTTGTGGCCTATTATATTTATAAAGAATTGCTTACTGCACTTACTTTGTTAGCTGTTGATAGTAATTCCTATAGTTTCAAAATCTTACTAGTGAAGTACAGACTAAATTTTTTGGTCAGAATAATTGTTTAAAATGCATGCTGATGGGATCAAAGGTTTTTAGAATTTTTACCGAGTAATGCCAATTCTGTTAACTAGGTTCAACATGCTGGATTTATAGATGATGTAGATTTATATATGACATGGAGAATAGCAACTGACAATTACATTGATAACAACTATAAACATCTTCATAAGTATGCTTTTGCAGGTGTATTTCACGATGAAGCTGTGTCATTATGTTGCATTTGGTGTTAACCTATGAACGATTTTAATTTTTGGTAATTGTTGGCAAAAAGTACAAAAAAGTTATATATTTTAGCAGGCTCTTCCACCAGGAAAATGCTTATTATATGTTCTATGTATATCGTAATCCTGACGAGCATAAATGTTGGATTTGTTGTAGTTGCCCAAAGTAAATCAGAGGCTAAAATAATGATATTATTTTTATGTTTTATGAAATCTTATGTTTTCAGGTTTAGGAAACACCTTCCATGAAGCTATATATAACCGTCGTATTCTTTTCCATGGTTTAGGCATCTAATGAGTGGTATCTTGGTGGCAGGATCCCAATTCCAAACATCTAGGGACCACAGTTTGGGATGCTTCGATGGTGTTTGTCAAATTTCTGGTAATGAATATTAACTTTTGATGTATCTTTATTCATCTATTGTGATGCGTCTTGGGGTTTCAAGTTTCAACACAGTTTCCTAAAGTTCTTAAGTGTCAACTTAATTAATAACATGGCTATATTTTTTTGAGGCTGATGTAGGATACTTTAGTGGTATTAATGGCTAGAAATACAATACACCTTTATCCTATTTTCATTTGCTTAACCCTTTAACACTCATGAAAACTACTCAAATTTAAGAAGTGCAATTCCATATTAAGGATTACTAATTCCAATAATAATGTAATTCTTAGAATTCCATCCTAGGTTGCAATCTACATAAATTATTTGTGAAATCACAATAAAATTCCAGCATTTTATAAATATTGTGTAATTTTCCACCAAACAAACTACAGCATCTTTCATTTTCAATTATTCAATTAGAATTGCAAGTTCATGTTTAGGAAAAAGTTTGGTTTTTCTTGTCCATGACCAAAACTGAATATTTTTGACTGAATATTGTAGATTTTTGGATCTAATGAATTTTTTGAATTCAGGAAAAGAATTGTCGTAAAGGAAGGTTTTGCCCATCTAAATTGAAAGGAAAACGTGCCATCGAACTTGGAGCTGGTTGTGGTTTAGCTGGACTTGGTGAGTTGTTCTCAAGTTCTTATATGTGTATAGCAATGATTAATATGTGTAGGGCATCTAACTTCGTAATCTAAAGAGAAAGTACTGAGTGTTAAATTCTTCAGGAATGGCACTGTTAGGATGCAATGTAATTTCAACTGACCAAACTGAGGTGTTACCACTGCTGATGAGGAATGTGGAGCGTAATACTTCTCGGATGATGCAAGCAAATCCAGATTCAGGTGCCATCTGAACTCCATGATTTGTAGTTTTTGATTAGTTGCATTTTGGTATCTTTTGCTACAACCTTGCATATATTATTTGTTGAAGTATATGCATTATGCATATTTACATATTTTAGTCATCTATATGCGATGCTGGATATTTTTCTATTTGTATCGTATTTATGGCGCAACCTTAATTTTTGTCATAATATATCCGATGGGTATCAATCTTGTCATGATCTTTCTTCATCTAACCATCTTGTACTAAGGGGATATTTTTTTTCAAGTCAAGGTTTTGAATACCATTCTGATCTTGGTTTTGACCGCTTGTTAGAGGTACCTATATACTGCGTGGAATCATGATGTATATATCATTGGAAAAAAAAATAAAAAATAGTACCGACTGGTACCTAGTTATTTGGTTGGGCACCAAATTATGAATCCCTGGTTAGACCAGTAGATACCAGGCAGTACATTGCATTGCCTCAGAATTTTGAGCTATCTCCTTAGTTTTTTAGTCGTATGTTGAAAACCTACATAAAATCTCCTTAGATTCCTTTCAGATGTGAAGGCATGTATAGATTTTAATTGTGCTTTTAAGAGATAAGATATGGACGATTATCGTGGTGATGATCAGTAAACTCATGTATACGACATGGTGCTTCAAGCACTGCTCATTAGTAGGCGTTGATCAACAGCCAAGGTTATGTTAACAGAGGCAAGTCAAAGGCAAAAGGTCTCTGTTGACATGAGAGCAAGCATAGGTCAGCCGTCAGTGTATTCCAAAAGTAATGCTTCAAGGCATAAAAAGTTTTAGATAAGGTCTTGAATTAACTAATATATATATATACATGCATATATATATATATATATATTTATGTATATACATAAATATATATATATATTTATGTATATATATATATATTTATGTATATATATATATTTATATATATATATATTTATGTATATATATACATACATATATATATATATATATACATACATATATATATATATATATACATACATATATATATATATATACATACATATATATATATATATATACATACATATATATATATATATATACATACATATATATATATATATATATATATATATATATATGAGCAATCACATGGCTAGTTCATTTTATAAATCAGCATGATTTCAGATTTAATGGCATAAAATTTCTCCTCTCATTATTCCTTTACCCATGTTGACTGAAAAATCAATTATTTGTTTATAAAAAAAATGGCTAGTTTATGTCACTTGAATGTGGATATGTTATGTGAATTATTGAATTATGTGAAAAAAGCTCGCACAAAGCACATGTTATTAAGATTTTGATATGTTGTTTCCAGATGTTGGCTGAAAAGTGATGCTAACCTACATGAGGCAAAAGAATATTATTTTCCTCTATTGTCACTGGCTTGTTTATGTTACATTCTTCTTAACAGGTTTAGCAGCATCATTTGGATCCATTGAAGTTGCTGAGTTGGATTGGGGAAATGAAGATCATATCAAGGCTGTTGATCCACCATTTGATTACATTATTGGGACTGACATTGTAAGTCATTTGGGCACTGCTTCATTCAGATTAAGGCTGTTAATAAAACAAGCAAACATGAGGTTGTAGCGTCATCTTATTTTCACTTGTAATATTCTGAAACATATATTTTGTTAGTGAAATGTAGTATGCAAACCATTCACATACGGTGCTTAGCAACCATAGTTGCTAAGGTCCAATTGAGTAGTTAGTTGTATATTGGAAAATATTTCACATAAATTATGTGGATCCAATACATTGAACCTCCTTATGCCCTAGATTGGTGGGAGCCTTGTTTTCACATGGGCTGCCCTTTAGAATGCAAGCTTTGACACCATGGTATCATGGCTCTTTTGCAACTTACGTGACCAGAGTTCAATTTACAGAGATGATTTCTCTACTTGTAACGTCAAGGTTGTGTATATTGATCGTTCTGTCACGAACGGTCGTCGCACACCTGCAACAACTTTGTTCAACGAACCGTTCGTTACTTTTGCATGCTTGTACAGAGATATGACAGTATGTTTTGCCTTGGTTTTGGGTGTTTTTGCTTGTAAAAATGCATGTTCGAACAGGTTGCATCGCTATAGTGCGATCGCTCACCGTGCCGTGCAAAACTGCCCCAAAATGGCTCTGTTTTCGCATGTCATGATTTGTTTTCTGCAGACCGCAGCTGCACGCAAAATGTTAGCCATCTCAGCACCCTGGAACCTCCGGGTGGCATAGGGCTGGGTGGGGCTTCGGTATATTGTTGAGTGTTAAACAATCTTCACAAGTTCACACGTTAACTTGACGAGAACTTGCCTTCGCGCTCGGCACCTAGTGAGTAGTTGTTTGTGGACTTGCAACTATTCGTTCTACCTTCTAAAGTCCTTGTTTTCTCCTTCCCTCTCTTTTCTCTCTTGCACTCAAGGTGCTCGCTGAATTGCTTGTAAAGCTTCCCTTTTCGCGAGATTTCGGGACTAATCAACTTTCTCTTTTACAGGTCCTTCGGGACCTGAGTGAGGTTGCAAATTGGCTGACCCTTTGCGGACGCATATCGCAAGGTCGCGTCATGACTTAGGTAATCCTAGCTAAGTCCGAGAAGTTGGCACAAGGATGCTTCGCTACTTAGACAACTCAAGCTAAGTTTGCGACTTTGCCGCAAGGGTGTCTCATGGCTTAGGCAATTCCAGCAAAGTCCGTGATAGTTCGGTTGATTCCTAAACCTCGTAATAGCAGGATTTCATCCATTACATCATATTTTTTGTAAAACTAGAAATGCTTTGCCTAGGATTACTGGTATAGACATAGACACAAATATTCTTTGAATTTTATGATTTTATAATTTTGAGAAGATGAAGTTCAAAGGTGTTGAGGCAACTTGAGTAAATGCTTGAAAAACTTAGGCAACATGAGTAAACAAAGGAAGCCTTCGAAAACTACTGTGTATATTTCTTAACCACTAAGGACATGACTTTTACAAAAAAAATGTCTTTTACATGTGGTTACCAACAGTGATATGCATGGAGCTAAAACCTGTCTGAAACCAGAAAAAGAAGAAGAAAAACATTCTGCTTTTCATTTTTGAATCCATTGACAAGTCAAGTATATGGTTGATTTTATCTTGAGTATTTAGTGGTAAATTCAATGTGCATTGGGTGAATTAATTCATTTTAATTTAATGGTCAGTTTTTCATGACAATACTTAGTAATTCAGGATAACAAAGATAGATTAAGGGAAACTGATTTGTTCGGATTGACCTGTTTCATGTGAAAATCATAAAAAATATTTCTTCCTGCAACTTATATATATATATGTTTTGCTGAACTAATAACATCTATGGTTTGTTAATATCATTTTATAATCTGTTAAAATATATTTGATGTTGTTGGTCCAAGGTATATGCAGAGCATCTACTGGAGCCATTACTTCAGACAATTTTGGCATTATCAGGACCTAGGACTGTGATATTGGTAATGCTTATATTTTCAGATTCTTCTTAGTATGAAGTTTTACATGTTATGGTATTAAGACTATTTGAAACTCATTTAGTTAGGTTATGAGATCCGCTCCACGGTGGTCCATGAAAGGATGATGGATGTGTGGAAGCAAAATTTTGTAGTTAAAACCATCCCAAAGGCAAAGGTACGTGTAGGCATTGTGTGTGTTTCGGTTCAAATAAGCTTTTTGGATGATTAGCTTTCTACATTGGTTTTTTTTGTCTATTCTATGTTTAATTTAGTTAGTTTTTTGAACCATTTATGCATTATGCATTATCAATTTACAAAAAGACTTGTGACCGGAAATTTAACATAAACTTGAGCTAAAAGTTGATACAAGGCACTGTATACTCTCTCAAGATGGAATGTGACTATACTGCCCTTATGCTTTTAATTAAGGTTCCTTTGGATCAGAACTATCATTGAAGTTGAGATCGGATTGTTTACACGTATCATTAATTGCTCACAGTTAAGAACTAAGAGGACATATTTTGTTATCTTTTGTTATATTTTGTATATACTAGTAAGATAACTTTAATCCAAGTCCTGGTGAGACTTAACTATGTCAGCAAAGGTGGGATCTTTTGCCAAATTCGTTTTTGATATGAGTTACACAAGATTCTGAGAATCAGGATCCACAATTGGATTAACCATTCGAAAAAAAAGGATCAGATCGGATCTTTCAGATTCAATATACAGATTGAAAAATCGGATTTTGGTAAATTTTAAAACTATTTTGTTTGGTTTTTAAATTATTGATTATTTTTTAATTGATTATTTTTATTGAATCTAACAATTTTAGTATTTTTATTACTAATTTGTAATTTTGGTGATGCGATTGCTACAAAAATATCAACATATATACACTGTTTGATTCAAGCATGCAGCAAAATTAAGGTATGTCAGGTGCAGGTCCACGTTCCTGTATGTTCCAGCAAAAATGAAAAATAATATACTGGCTGTGAGCCATCTACAACATCCCTCCATTGCCAGTCCTGAGATTTTCTACCACATGGATATAATATTTTGCAACTTTGTGTGATAATCTTTCCTTAAAACATGCTTCTTATGATCATATGCAAATTTAACTCTCATGCATACATCAGAAAATAACTTGGTATTTGTTATTACGATAGGTAAAAGTAGTCTTACAAAGAATGTAATCTATGAAATGACATGACACGATAGGTAAAAGTTTTTCTTTGGACAACTGATAGAGATAATCCATCTTGTGGATGCAGATGGATAGCAAGTACCGACACCCTAGTATTCAGCTTTTCATGATGGAGGTAAAAGATCAATCTAGATACAAGAATCCTGGACCTACTGCAAATCAAATTCCCGAGTCTAGTCGTGGTAGTGACGAGGATGGTCAAAGTTGTGAAGCAGAAGAAGATGCCAGGGATGCAACAGCTGGTGAGAACATCATGGATTTAGAACCTGGGAAGATTGATGACTGGGAAATCAGAAGATTGGGATCTATGGCTGCACGGCTTCTGCGAGATGTCAAGATAACATAGATTGCCGTTTTCCTTGGTCGGCTCTTGATTTGATCCTCAGAATGTGAAGGTAAAACCTGCAACACAATGGAATCATGCCTTAATTTCACTGAACACAGCCAGACTTGAAATTTCTGGTTAAATTCCTCGCCAACCCCCAGTCTGAAGTAAGACGTGAGTCTGTGATAGAAATCCTCTCATCAGCCTTTCAGTTTTCCATGAGGGTGTGTCTGCCAAAAACACGGGACTAACTGGTTGCAAGTTGACCTGCAGTTTAGCTCAGTAGCTGAAGAAGGCAAATCAGTAGCATGAATTGGATGGTCCTTCATGGTGAGAGTGGAGGCTGCTAGATTCAGTTCAACTGTTATTTAGGTTTTGCCTATTGTTTGCACGAGGAATTTTGGCATGAATGAGAGACTATCATGTTATGTTGGGTTGAGATTTTACAAGTTAAAACTCCTTGTTTGAATCAAGTGTTGCAGAGTACAAGTATTATGAGTATTTGCAATGACATTGGGTAACGGAATGGGTAATCATCAACAGCAGTAATGCCATGATGATTAGTTGCTTTGGCCCATTTGGATTTTTTATTATTTTTCTGTATCTGTTTTGAGGTATAATAAGAAAATTATTTTCATGCGACTTTGGGTCACTGCCGTTAAGAGTCACGGAAATAATTCTTATATTTTTAGAATAAAGGAAAAGATTCTGTAGATCGATCATGTTGGACTGTCTTTTCTTCATTTTTTTATATTTTCAGAATATAAAATATAGCGGTTGATAATGGACTTTCAGATTTTTTTTTCTTTTAGTCGTTAGAAAAAGAAATTTTAGTTCAAAAGATATTTAAATGATTTATTTTTTTTGTACTAATAAATATTTAAATGATTAGGATTAAATAATTTTTAAATAAAAAATAATTTTTAAAATTAGAATTAAATATATTTTTTGGTAATAGATAAATAAATGACGAATGTAAGATTCGACAATGTTCTCATCATATAATTTCACTGTTGGATATTTATTATTTTATTCAAATCTCTTTCGTACTTGGTTAAAGGATTATATACTCATTCAAAATAATATATTCTTTATTTAAATAATATTTGGGTAAATTTTTGGAAAAAGTTTATACTTTTTATAAATTTTTGCACAGCTTTCTCATTTTAAAAAATTCTCATAGAAAGTTTTAATTTTTCAAATTGGTAAAAGTATTTATTCTTCAATAAATTTTTGTCTTTTCCCTAAAATGCTATATCTTCTCTCTCCACTTTTTTAATGAACTAATCCATTCGATTGAACTGGTTTGACCAAAGAATTGATGTAAAATAAAGTATATCAAATAATTTATTTGATATATCAATTTGTATCATTAAAAATAATAAATAAATATACTACATTATATTTACTACAAAATAAAGAATAATATAGTAATAAATATTTATATATTTTTTAAAAAAAGAAAAAAAAGTTTTTAAAAATTTATTTATTGATTTTGCCCTTGAAAAGTTACATTTATTTAGAAAATATTAAAAATTATTATTTAAATTCTCCAAAAGAGAAAACTTATATTTTTATCCATTTAAAATAAATTTAAATATTTTCTAAAAGTTTCAACTTATTTTGATCAGACTATGACCTAGTTACACTATTTTCTAATAGTGTAAGTGGTTTAAGACAATATTTCTTGGATCAAATTTTTAGAATAGATTTTCTACCTATTTAAAAGCTCAAATGTCAACAAATATTTCATGAAAACATCATATTTTGATAAAATTAGATAAAATTTTATAGTATTTAGATGTTGAAGAGTTTTTAAAAAATAAGAAATAAATATCATAAAATAGAAAAAGTTGATTTTTAATCTAACTGGGTTCAATGAAAATGTTTCAAGAAAATACCATGTTATTTTGATCAGGATTTGACCCAGTTACAGTATTTTTGAATTGACTCATAAACAGTGTCAGTGATTCAAGGCATTGATTTTATGGGATCAAATTTTTAGAATATGTCTTCTACCTATTTAAACTTTTAAATGTCAAAAATAATTTCAGAAAAGCATCATATTTTGATAAAATTAGAAGGATTTCAAGATAATGGATAAAATTTTATAGCATTCAGATGCTGAAAATTTTAAAAATATATATAATAATTTTTTTCTAAAATAGAACATTTAATTTATTATCTATTTGGATTCAATGCAAAGGTTAAGTTGGTTTGACCAGAATTTAACCCATTGACATTATTTTTTAAATTGGCCTCAAAACAATGTAAGTGGTTCAAGGCCTTTATTTTGGGATCATATTTTCAGAATAAGTTTTGTACCTATTTAGAGCTCAAATGTCAAAATAAAATTCATGAAAGTATCATATTTTGATAAAATTATAAAAAAAATAAAAAATAAAATTTTAAAGTGTTTAAATGTAAAATTTAAAAATATATGAAATAAATGTTGAATCTCGGATTTTGACGATGAAACCAATTGATAGTGTTTATGATTTGATTTGTGTTTTGAATGATGCAAGAAGCTTCGATCAGAGAGAGACAATTAAAGCAGGAAAAATCATGTTAGGTCAGAGAGAAACATGTCAGAATATTAGACGTCGAGCCGAAGGATCGGTTGACGTATCTGTAGAAGGCTTCGGGCCATGGGTTCGGGCATCGGGCCAAAAAGAGTGGAAATTACACCAAAAAATCGGAGTTACGGAGGTCAACTAGTCTATTGAGCAATAGGCCACAAAAGAGGACGATGCGCCTAAGAATCGGATGAAGCATCGATAAACCAATGACATGTCGGACAACATGATTCTGTTAGGAACGAGTCGGTACTAAGAGGGGGGGGGAGGGGTGAATTAGTGTAACGGTAAAATCACGTCAGTTTGAAAATCTTTCATACGACAAAACCCGTTTCATAAAGATGCTTAAATTGAAAGTGTACGAAAGAATATAGTAAGTAATAAGAAGGTAGTCTGTAGTTAAAGTATATTGCCAAAAAAAAATGCAAACCAGATTTTTATAGTGGTTCTGTCGTCGTGACCTATATCCGCTTCACCGATTCCTCTTCCGTTGAGGCCACCGGCATCCACTATCGGTCTTCCTTCAATGGGTGAAGACTAATTACCCTTTTACACCCCTCTTCTCTGTTTCACAGGTTTAGGAGACAATCTTTACAAGCACACACTCCTCCCTAAACAGAATTCTAAACTTAGAACTAGAGGAGGATATTTCTCAAGTGATTACTATAGTGTTTTCTCACTTTTAAACTCTTTGTGCTTGTGTGTGTTAACCTAGGATGAGAGGGGTATTTATAGGTCTCAAATTGATTCAAACTTAGAGCCCAAAAAGGTCTCATCTTGGGTTTCCCAGGTCCTAGCGATACCATCGCCTATAGCACTGACATTGGGCTGTACCATTGCCTAGTCTGGTGGTACCACCGCTTGGGAGACTGTGTCTGGGCGGTACCACCACTTGAGAGACTGTGTCTGTGCGGTACCATTGCCCAAATTAGCGATACCACCTCCTGACTCTAACACTGGGCGGTGCCACCGCTTGATATAGTCTCGAAGACTGTGCCACGATGTTGTCACTTGTTGGGTAACTATTTGGGTCTTTCACTGGACCCAACATAGTCCATACATGGGCCCAACTAGCCCCTAATTGGATTGGCCCAATTTCAATCTCAATTATATGCTAACTATAAAATTTAAGGCATACACTAAGCAAATTCGGTCCGGTTAGTCTAGGTTTCTTCTAGCAAGCTTCCGATGATCTTCCAGCGAATTTTCGATGATCTCTCAATAATGTTCGAACGGACTCTCGGCAAGCTCCTAGACTTCACAACGATCTTCTTGGTGAGTATTGATGAGCTTCTTCGGCAAGCTCCTGGACTTCTCGGTCAATTCTAGCAAAACTTTCGACGAACGTTTGGACTTTCGATGAACTATCGAACTCCCAACGAAGTCTCGTTCTTGACTCCGGGACTTCATTTTGCTTTATACCTTAATCACTATCATAGTTAATCATGTACAAATAAAGTCTACTTCGATCTAGATAATTATTACAAAGCTTGAATTATATTGTCCAACATGTCATTGGTTCATCGACACTTCATCCGATTCTTCGGCGCATCATCCTCTCTTGCGGCCTATTGTCCAATCGCCTAGTTGACCTATGTAACTCCAATTTCCTTGGTGCAATTTTTGCTCTTCTTGGCCCGATGCCCGAATCCATGGCCCGAAGCCTTTTGTCGATACGTTGACCAATTCTCCGGCTCAATGTCCAATCTTCTAACATGTTTCTCTCCGACCCAACATGATTCTTCCTGTTTTAATTGTCTCTCCCTGATCGAAGCTTCCTGCATCACTCAAAACACAGATTAAATCATAAACACTCTCAATTGGTTTCATCATCAAAATTCGAGATTCAACAATCTCCCTCTTTTTGATGATGACAACCAATTGATGCCATATTGATAGAACTCTTGAATTCAAATTGAGTTCAAGTCATAGCAATATTTCATCATGAATATTTGCAACATGTGATCATAAAATCATGCATAATCAAATTTTCAATACATCATTCCATGCATAGTCATCAATATAACTTCTCCTCCTTTGTCATCAACAAAAAGAAGAAGTTCATTTAGCAAGTTTCAAATCATTGTATTATAAATATAATCTCAAGTTTTATCATCATGCAAGCAAGTAATTTTCTTTTTCTCTTTTGAGAAGTGCAATGCTTTGCTTCCTTGCCAAAGCATAAGGTAGCGAAATTTTACATCATTTTATATTCAAGCTAGCAGTAATTTTGAGTTTTGCACATTTGTAAATTTTGCTAAATTAGCAAGTTAGCATATTTTACTTCTTAGGATAGGCAAGATAGCACTTTTGCTTCTCTTGAGATTGCAAGCTAGCAATTTTTGGTGATGTTCAAGATAGCAAGTTCTACATCATGCAAGCTAGCAAATTTTTAAATCAATTTTTTTTATAAATGTAAGCTAGCAATATTTGAGATGTTCAAGAAAATAACTTTTACTTCTTGAAATATACAAGTTAGCAATCTTTGCTTCTCTTTTGAGATGAGCAAACTAGCATGTTTTTGTATCTACTTGAATTGTGAAAGCTAGCAAATCTTTCTCTTTTGAGATATACACACTAGCAATTCTTTCTCCCCTTTTGTCATTGGCAAAACCAGGGAAATAATAATATAATAATATAATCCATTTCCCTTTACTATAATCTTCAAATTATAACAAAGATAAATAACAAAGATGAAAAATCAAGTCATGAATGTCAAAATAATTTTTCATCATGAATATTTCATCATTGCATGCATCATTATCATAAGTTGAAGTATTACATGCATAATATCAAATCATCATTCATAATTACATCAATATTTCAATCATAAAAAATGAGAGATCAAGTCTAAATTTCGAGTAATCAAGATCATGAAACAAAAAATGTATAAGAAGAATTTATGCATTTGGGAGCTCTAATATGTTTAAGTTTATCATTCAAGCTAGCAAATTTGGTTCTCTTGAGATGCTAGCTATTTTCTTTTCACCTTTTGTCATTGTAAACAATAAAGAAGAATGAAATAACATAATGGTATAAATGTTCAAGTCATCACAAAA